TTTTTTTTCCCCCCTTCCGTGCCGTGCGAACCGTTTGAAGACATGCATACGTGCAAGCAACCCAGGCAACCCCGCGCCTGGTAAAATGCAGCGAAACGGAGGACACAGGCCATTCCTGATGGATGCAGCTATGCCTGCCTCTACGTACATACATACATATATATATATAAAAAAAGTGCATCTGTGTACATATATGTATGTATAGCGCAAAGGTTAAAACACCAGTTTTTGTTTCTGGAGAAAGCACGTGAGGCCCAATGCTGTGACTATCACATCGACTAGCCCACGAGCCTGCGTGCTGCCAGTGGCGTGTGCCGGCAAGGCCTCAGCTGCCGGGGCTCCCTTCAGCAACACGTGGGGAGAGGAAAAAAATGCCCTTTTTTTGTTTTTTAAAGGGCAAATGCTTTAAGTTCTTACTCTGTAAAATTAAAAAAAAAAAAAAAAAGTCAATCTGTAGTCGGGCACAGTATGTCTAATAAACCCTGAAGGAGGAAAACTAAAGTGTGATTTTGATGCAGCTCTTTTGTGGAAGGCTGTATGAGGAGGCATGTGAATTCCCCTGAATCTGCCACTGTCACAGTGGTCTCATGGCCTTTCCCCTCGCTCTTTTCCCTTTTGCTTTGGCTGGTAACTGATTTGCCTTTTGCAAGTTGCATTTGTAGGAGTGGGAGAGTGTTAACGACAGGGTTGCGTACAAGCCCTGGGTAGCAGTATGCGTTCTTATCAGATAGCTGGGTGAGCAGACAAGCAAAGCAGCTGGTCTAGGTAGCTGCAGGAAAAGTGGCATGTGATAATACTGAAACCACAATAACACCTGGCGAATGAGCATCCTGTGCGCTTGAGATATCTCTTGGTGGCTTTTCAGCATCATGTGGGTACTGAAGATGGGAGCCGTAGACAGCTGTTTGTTTTCTAGTATGTGTGGGTTTTTCTTACTTTTTTTTTTTTAGACAAGATTAGTTTTGGGTAGCAAACCTTTCTCATCTGCGTGGTGGGAACGTGGGGACAAGAGAGGAGCGTGAAGAGCTGTTTTTTGGTTCTGCAGTCTAGACAGTTGTTTTGTCTCTGCTCCTCGCTCTTCCCAATGAACGAGGCTTTCTGTCGTAAGAGCCAGGATTTCTGCAGCCTCCCTTTTGTCCGTTCTCATCGGTTCGTGGGGTCTGAGGTTATTTCTTAGCAGTTAAACTGTGTCTGCGTTAGCAGCTGTGGTCGTTGCTAAACAGGTTGGAGGATACGATCTGTACACACCTGAGAGTGACTTGCAAAATACGGCCTATGCACTTGGAAGCGGTAAGGAATTGTGCTGTAGCAATTTGAATGCAAGGAAGAACTGTAGCAAGCAAACTCCCTCCCCTCGTGCCCCAAGTCTGGATGTTGTTTGCATGCATCTATCTGCACGGCGATAGGTATGGATGCAGTTCCTGTCTTGAAGAGCTAACATCCCAGGAGAAATTGCGTGGGTAAAATGAATGGGAGGAAGGATGAGGGTAGAAATAGCAGGAACGCAGGGATGCAGAGCCCAAGGCAAAGGGCTTTATTTTCCTGGCTGAATCTCGCCACCTTTCTGCAAGCAGGGTGGTTGACTTGCTTGTGGGGAAATCTTGGGCAGCCTGAGAGGAACGGGCGAGAGCGCTAGTGCTAGCGCGTCCAGCCCGGGCGTGGTGCCCGGCTCCGCCGCGGGAGGCTGCGGACCCCGCTTTTAATAATACTGCCCTTTCCCGAACGGGCAATCGTAGGGGCCGACGGGGAGGCTCGGCCAGCTGAGAGCGACCCGGCGCTTCGTGGCGCAGGTGCTGGGGCGCCGCTCCTGCTCCCGCCTCGCTCGCTCATCAGGACGCTTTGCACCGCGCTCTCCGTTGACCTACAAGCGGGAA